TCTCAGCACGGTGGACATACTGATGAGTCCCAAGCCCCCGCTCCCACCCGCCCTGTGCCCTCAGCTCCGCACCTGTCTGCGCCCGCAGCCTCCTGGGCGTCTCAGCGGGCTCTCTCAGCACGGTGGACATACTGATGAGTCCCAAGCTCCCGCTCCCACCCTACCTGTGCCCTCAGCTCCGCACCTGTCTGTGCCCGCAGCCTCCTGGACGTCTCAGCGGGCTGTGTGATGGGCGTCTTCACGCAGGCCCTGACCTCCCAGCCTGCTTCTCCTGCGGCCCCTGCACCTCCGTCTGTCACCCCTTCCAGTCCTTCAGTCCCCTCGACTGCCCGCTTTCTCGCATCTGTCTGCAGACACGTCCACGCTCCTTCCAAGAGCACCCCGAGCCTCCCCACGCCCCCGCCTGTGCCCTCCAGCCGCAAGCCCAGCGCCTCCCTGTGCCGCTGGCACCTCTGCCTCGCCTCAGTCTGCTTCCTGTTAAAACGAGTCTCAGCTCAGGACCCTCGGGAGTTCCTGAGAAGCCCATCCCCACCGCCCTGGCCCGCGCGGTCTGCACTCCCCGCCTGCCCCCCACTCTGGCCCTCCCGTCTCTCCCTCCGCCCCAGCCCCACTGGCCTCCTTGCTGGTCCTGGGACATCCGGGACAGGCTCCCGCCCCAGGAGCTTTGCACAGGCTGTTCCCGCCCCCGGAACACTCTCCCACCGCCCTCATGGCTCCTCATCAGGGCTTCCTGGTCCCCACCCGCCCGGCCGCGCCGTATCCCACTTTCCTGGGGTTTTTCCTTAATGCACTTAACACCCATCTAATCTACACGTTTTACTCATCGTGTCTCCTTCCCGACAAAACTCCGTCAGCTGTACAAGGGCGGGATTATCGTGCAGACACCAGAACAACCTGGGCATGCGGACGGCCCAGTAAATTACACCGGGGGGGGGAGGGGACGAGAAGAGGGGCGCGAGGACGGGCCTCCTAACGCTCTCGCCGTCCCTGCCCAGCACACGTTAGACGTCACGAGCACGGCAGTGCCCGCTGCCATTCGCTGCTCCGAGTCGCGCCTTTCGGAGGACGGAGTGTTCCTGCTGGTGAACGGCCTGAACGTGTTCCTGTGGCTGGGCGCCAGCAGCCCGCCCGAGCTCATCCAGGGGATATTCAGCGTGCCGTCGCTGGCACACGTCAGCACAGACATGGTCAGTAGCTCTTCCGTTTTTGCGGTAAAAGACAAGTTCTTACATGTTTTTTGTTTACGTGCATCTATGTATTGCGAAGAAGGAAAACAGTAAAGCGTAGTTCCGCATGAGAGAATTTCACGTTTCGATGAATAACCGTCGGCTGGTATGGTGTGTAGAAAGTATTATACAAACAACCAAAATACGTGACTTTGAGATCGCCAGCATCTCTGGATCATTTCCCGTGTGCCAGTCACTGCGCTTTAAACACTCTACACCATTCCGCCTAATCCTCGTAAAAAGTCGGTGAGATGGTCCTGTCGTCACCTTCGACAGGTGAATCGGCGGAGGCTTGGGGACAAGTTGGCTCAGGCAGGGAGTAGCCGCGGTAGGAGCTGAAACATCCTCGGGCTTTGGGCTCGTCCCTGGTGCCGAGGAGCGTATTTAAAAGCAGGCGGAAACCTCTCGTGCATGCTCAGCTGTGGGCGGTCAGATTAACGAACTGCGAGGTGACACTCCCACGAAACCAGGCCACGTGCCCTCTGCCGCAGTCGTTAGCGGGTGGGATGAACACGGATGACGTTCTTTTAAAGTCTGTTCGGGAACCCAGCAGCCATCACTCGAGAGTCAGCGTGCATCGCGCGCCTTCTGTGCAGACCTGGTGGGTGAGCGCGGGGCTGTGCCAGCTGCTGTGCTGCTCTGCCTGGCGGCAGGTTCCTTCTGCACCACACGTAGGATCAGCAGTTGTGGCCCGAGGCCTCACTGACTCTGGCCAGACGCTTTCCCTGGTTTCTGGCAGGGAGGCAGATGCATGGCACGCAGGAGGAAGGCAGGATTCAAGTTCCCGGCTAGATAGGCACGTGGTTGGTGCAGAGAGCTGCAAATCCTTTACGAGTGTCCAAGTTGTATTTTTAAAGGAATTAAAAGTTGTCCATGTCCCATTTAGGACTAGTTTTAAGGTGAAAACTAAGATCTAGAAATAGTAGGATGTCTGCACGTGGTTGAAATTAAGGAGTAATTAGAAATGGAATTTTGAAAAAACAGCAAACAAAATTGAAATTCAAAAGGTAAAGAACTATGAGGATACTCAGGATTTAAGGAAGAACTAAAGATAAAGAACTATGAGCTTACACAGGATTTAAGGAAGCCTCCCCTAATTTCACAGTGTCGATGAAGTAACCGTTACATGCAAGTGACACTTTCTCTTTAGACGCACCTGGCAACCTGCGACACGTCCGTGAAGTGCTCATTTTGTTTGTTGAATAAAAAGATCTACCTTAATGCCAGAGAATACAGACAGGAGAAGGAACGTAAATATAGATGATGAATTTCTGCTTTTCTTACAACTCCTGTGAAAAATATTGGCCGTGATCTTTCCCTGAGACTTTTGACTTTGTGGTAAAATGTTCTAGCTCACCTGTTCGGTGGCTAACTCACAATGATGTATTTGGTAGCTTCGGGCTGAGAAGTGAGCGTTAGCATTTTATTCTCTTACTGGACAGACTCTCAGTCCAGACCTTTCACATCCCCTGGGGGCCATCTGCAGCTGGATCCGCTGCTTTTGTGGATGTTAACCAGATTGCAGGGAATCTAAGAGGCCACACGCCCCTGGAGAAGCCAGCATTTGGTGGTTCTAATGTTGGAACAGTGGTACTTGGGTGGCGTTTTCCAGACCCACTGACATCTCTGGGTCTTGCAGCCGACTGCGGCAGGAATGACGGTCAGGCTTTGCCGTACAACGCGGACTTGAAACGTCCTTGCTGCAAAGGGGCTGAAATCACGGTGCGTGGTCCAAGGACAGCCTCTGCATCACACACATGCCCGTGTGTCCTTTCAGAGATGTGCGCATGCCGGATTCCAGAGGAGGGTTATTTTCAAAAGACAGTTCACTGGGGGAAACGTATGCCGATAAAAACAAATCGTTTTTGGCACGTTTTTTTCACAATTTTGATGTTTAGGTAAATGAACTAAGTCAATAGTTAAATGTATGGTTTAGGATTTTTTTTAACTTTATAACATTCTAATAACTTCATTGCTGCTTCTATCTAAATCCTGTAAATTATACTGAAACTTAAATTTTGACTTTCTTAATTTTAGACGTTACTGCCTGAGGTAGGAAACCCGTATTCTCAAACACTCAGGACAATAATGAGTACCATCCAACAAAAGAGGCCATATTCAATGAAGGTAGGAACAAGATTTTATTTTTTCCTTTCTTTGAGTGTTTTATTTTTTCAGTTTCATTACAGACTTTTTAAATGCATGTCCTGTATTTTTATAACACGATCTTTGATGGAAAACACACTGACCTCTAAGTGTATATACCTACTCATCAAACACAAACACGCAGAAGTCGGCAGCCGTCACCACGGCTAGCCACGGGCATTTTAGTGAGCGTGAGCTCGGTAATCGTGGAGCCCCTCTTCGTGGTTTGGCAGCCGACTCTGTCTTTGGCACAGGGCATGTGGACTGCCCTCTGACCCCACCCCACGTCCTTAAGGGACCCTGCCCCATCCTTAAGGCTCAGCGACAGCCCCCTGCATGGTGCAGCCTTTCCCACGGCACTCTGCCTCCGTTTCATGGTGGACACTCAGACTCGGACGTCTGGGTTGGGTGGTCTGGGGTCGGTGCCACCCTCCACTCTGGGCAACAGGCGCTTCTCACATCCTCCAAGGCCTCACGCCCAGTGGACAGTCTGTATAAAATCGAGACGCGCTGAGAAAATGTGGCTAACCAGCTGCCTCGCTGCTGTCTCTCCCCAGCTCGTGATCGTAAAGCAGCGAGAACAGGCAGAAATGCTCTTCCGGCAGCTCCTGGTGGAGGACAAGGGACCCCACGGAGGGCCGTCTTACGTGGATTTCCTCTGCTGTGTGCACAAGGAGATCTGTCAGCTGCTGAATTAGCGGAGCCTTCTGTGTTGGCGTTGCGTTTCTAGGGAAATCATCTCCTTCTTGGCGGCTGATTCTCCAGATGACAGCGGGCTCGCTTTGATTCCTTGCTCCTTTTCAGAGTGGCTTTCCACAGCATTCAGACCTTCAGCTTTGGTGCTCAGGTGCGAAGCCAGCGAAGGGACAGCTGTACCTCAAAGGGAACAGTCTGTTTCTATTGTACAATTTTTAACTGTTAAGACTGATGATATACTTTTGCATTTCATGAAAGGCACAGTTTTACAAAACTGTAAACATTCTCAATTTTCCTTCTTTGTGCCAGACATTTAAATTATTTTTCAAAATGTATAGATTTGGGGAAAAGGTTGTCTTGGCTCATCTCCTATTTGCAGTGAGAGGAAAAAAACTTAATTTTTACATTATATCTAATTTTTTTAAACCACGTAACCCCACTGAACATTTTCCACTTGAGGTTTGCATAGCGGACTTTTAATAACCTTGGAATCTATTGGTAGGACCATGTGCGTTCTACATTTTTTTCATAATTCTATGTTGTGTATGTTAAACTATTTTCCGATTGTCTATAAAATTGTCTATCAATACTCTCAAATGGTTCTCTGTACAATAATGAAGGTTTCTACCTGTATATAATGGATCTTAACCAGTATCAATAAATCCCTTCGTATGCTCTACTCAGCAGGGAGGATTCATGTTTCAGGTACTGTGAGGTGACGTCCTCACGGTGCACCCGCACCGAGGTCGCTCAGTGGCACCGCCTCCGCTGCTGGAGGTCCCCCCAGGGACGGGAGACAGGGTGACCAGGATGGTATGTTCACCTGCTTAACACTTGGTACGGTGGAAACGTGTTTCTCTCAATAAAACAAGAGGGAAGATCACAATTTAGATCACGTTTTTGAACATAAGATAACCCGAAATTGAACTTCTGCTCCACTAGGAGGCGCTGTTCACTGCTGTGTCTGAAGCTTTCCAGAAAGGCTGGTCAGTGGTCTTCCAGAGAAGGCAGTTCTCTGGGGAGAGCTGACTATGCAAATTCTAATTGCTGAAAACACGAGATGTAATACTGACTAATCTGGATAAAAAGAAAAAAAAATCTCAGTTGAAAGCAGCAGCAGAAATCCGCGGCCACCGTCTCCAGCGGCTGCTGGCCTCTGCTGAAGCGGCACACGCGGCCTTTGGGCCAGCTGTTTGTCAGAACGGACCGCTTTGCTGAGAGCGCTCCCTCTGGGGCACGCGCGGGGTTTCCCTCTACTTGGGGGCAGTTTTCAGACGGTTCAAAGGCCACCACGTTTCCCCATCACGTCCCCTGTCTAGGCCAACTCTTCGGATCCCTGGAGCACGTCCTCACAGACACCATTTTCACAGTCATTGTCCACCAAACTTAATCCACGAAGGTCCAGTTCTAAATCACGAGGAGCAAGGTCAGTTTGGGACGGCTGTGGCTGCTGTCCAGTTAGTCCCCTCAGAACGACAGTGACTGCAGAGTTCACGAGTTGTGCAAGAATTGTTAGCGTGTTTCATTTTAACAATATTTTAAAAAATTATGAGTTATAAATATAAAACTTTGCAATAAGAATTTTCAATTTTAATACCTTTATAGAATAAGACTTTATTAAGTTAGTATTTTTCAACTGTGGTTTTTCAAATTGAGGTATCCCTTGGGTCCATGAGAAACTTTTTCTTTAAAAATATATTATCCACGTTTGAAAAATAGTTGTAGGGAATCCCATGCGGTTCAGATTAATGTTACACAATCAGTGTCTTAGGGACCCTACATGTGTATTTGGCAAAAAGGCTATTACATTTATGAATTAGGGGAAACGGGACTTAGCATATAGATTATGACTTTGCAGCAGTAAACTCTAGCGTGCAAAAAAAGTCAGGTCTGAATCTTCACCCCGCGGCCTGGCAGGGAGCTCCCCTTCCTTTGCTTCATGCTGGTGACCAGTGTCCAGGCCCCCGAGGTCTCCTGAAGTCCAGGGCTGCTCTGTCTCCGCAGCGTTTGGGGGCGGGAGGAATACAGAGTCTGGGGGCTCACACTTTCCTAGGTGCACCGCTCGACTAGTTCCCAGGGAGGTCACCTCTCCCTGAGGCCATGTCCTCGGAGGCCTGGGGCCACGCTATGCCCATCCTCGGCCGTCCTGTCCCCCCTCACTCTGGCAGCGTCTCCCCAGGCCCGTGGTCCTCACGGGAGCCTTGCGGTCTCACTTTTTACCGAAGCGATTATTAACAAGGTGAAACAGATGTGCTTAAATCATTTTCCTTATTTAAACAGGTTGCACTTGGCAGAAAGTATTTTAAAACGTATATCCTGAGGAAACAGATGCCGTTAAAGGCAGACCAGAGGAACTTATGCTGTAAGCCCACTGATGAGTGAGTGGCAAGTTACTGAAAGTTACTTCGTCTCATCGGCCTCAAAGATAAAGTTCTCCCACTTGAGAGAAAAAAATCCATGCTACAAAAACAGTCCTTACGTGGCAAGAAGCATCGGCAGAAGGGAAGGGAGGTGAGACGGGCATCAAACACCCTCTGGGAATCACTCCCCATTATTAAGCAAGCATGGGGAGCGAGGGAATATTTCCAGATGATACTGTACTTACGCACTGCATTTAGAGGCTGAGAAAGCAGGCCGCTGCCTTCACAGGACGAAGCCTGACTGCGCAGAGCACAGCCAGCGGGGTCACGCACTCAGGACTCAGTGAGGACGTGCAGGCAGGTGTCGGCTGCAATGGCAGTCTTCTGAATCAGCCCTGTCAGCATCGTCTCAGGGAGGCAGTGGGATTTAAAATTCGGGGAGTTGGGTGGTTGACAAGCTTATATTTGTACTTATAGTTTCTTAAATTTTGCTTTGGAATTATTTTTACAAGTATTCTTGAATATTTATTTTTATAAATATTCTTAATTCTTAAAATGCCTATATTAAAAAAAAATCTTATTAAAAATAAACATTTATTCAATGAGATATAACAGTAGAAAAGTAAGCTATAATCTTGAGCTCCTATTTACCATGCGTGTACGGCTAGCATTTTGGAGTGGGCCAAATCGTCCATCCATCTGTGCAGCTTATCGGAATTATGGGCAATATTCTTCTACTAAAAACCTCTCCTTTGCTCATGATTAAAGTGTGTACCCCCTATCCAGAAGCTGTCTCAAAAAGCATAAACCTATAAAATGACAGCGAATTCCCTAAGACATTGAAGTAGTTACCTTGGAAATTTAACCAGCATCAATTACTAGACTAGATCTCTCTGAACAAAATTACATTTGACTTTCTATCCTTTGCTTAAAAGACAAACAAAAACACCCTAAAAGGGCAGAACAATGTGGTTTCTCTTTCCCACCAGGACAGGCCCAGGCCTCTACATTTTCTCCCACTGAACAGATGAAAGGCCCGCGGTCGCATCTGTCTGAACCGTTACAGTCCACGTCTGCCGCCTTCCGTGTCCTCAAGTACACCAACTGTGTAACGTGTGTTCAGGGGTGATGACCTCCTGTCCCAACTGGGTAACTATGTCCCCCCTTTTAGTAAATTCGGTCACACGGTATTTAGAGGCCAGAATTTAAAATATGCACACAGTATTTAGCCAAATTAATTTTAAGAAATTTGTTTCGTGGAAGGCAAAAGAACATTTCACATCTTCCCTCTGTGGTGACCGTTAGCTGGAGCTCAGCAGCGATGTCCACCGGACTGGCCCAGGGTGTCAGCTCCTGTCCCCGCTTGCCTTGGGTCTCCATGGCCCTGAGGTCAAGTCCGTGGCTGTGTATTAAGGTGCTCTGAGCTGACCTGCTTTTATTAGAGGAGCTGAGAAAACCCACCCAAGTGGGCGAACGGCACAGACGAGGTAACTGGGAGAAAGTGAATGAGGGAAAGTAGACACGCCCACGTTTAACGGGCTACAAAGTGTCCACAAAAGACAGCTACGTCGTTGACCTCTCGATTCTCGATTATTTAGTAATGTTTTTTTGGAAAAACCTACCTTACCTGATTTCACTGTTTATTAGCACTTCCAGTTAAAGAGGCAAGAGCTGTAACACGTACTCAAACTGATCATTTTACTCTTTTGTCCAATACTGGAAAAATGATTTACTGGAAAAGAATTATCTAGATTAAATGAGGCAGTATTTTCTGAGTGTTGTGGCCAGCCATGTTTATATCTGAGTAAGGGATGGAGACCATGGGAACAGAAGCAATGTGGCTTTTCCAGAAGCAGAGTTCAGTGGGCTCAATTTGCTGGATAAATGGTCCTTCTGGAAGTCCTAGATTTACAGCTTCGAAACTGACTATATATCCCCGAGACCCAAGCTGAAGTTTAGTCTCTGTCACCAAACATCAAAGACAGGATGATGCTTAAAGTCCTATACAGACCCCAAGATCGCACAGTTGTTCCAAGGAAAGCTTTTCTTGTAAGCAAAGGTTTATGTTTTTATAGCTCCCCCAAAATACAAGAAACTTTCAGATCAAAGACTGGGCCATCATTTTGCCAAGTTAATGAAGATTATAGGAAGCAAATCGGTAAAGACCAAATAGTAGATTCTTGAGTTCAGGATGAAAACATTATGGGTATCAAAGCTGCTCGGATCAGAAAGCAGAACTTCAGCAGTTAGGATGGGTAGGAAGTATTTTGACAGACATGAAAAGGAGTCGGTCCGCTAACAGCCACGACACCCAGCAGTCGACGGTCGCTCCCAGGCACCCTTCCGTCACAGCTCAACACGAGCTACCGCGTAGCGCCGGCTTCGCTTCAGATGACGAGGGATGAGCACCTTGCGTTTCCCCGGTTACGAGCTCAGGACTCCCGGGGGGCTCCCCCACTTCCCAGAGGGCCAGCACAGTCGGCCGCTGACACAGCACACACACTCCGGCGGCCACGCCTGACCTCCTCCCAGCTCTGAGCTGCGGGCGAGCTGCTGTCTCGTGGCAGGGATGTGCCACACTGTGGCTGCCATCTCCACAGGTCTCACCTGGTTCAGGGGCAGCACCCCCAGGAGCCATTCCGGGGACAGCATCACCGCCCCTCTCTGCTCCACAGTGAGGAAGGCCACGAGTTGCAGTGCTGTGGGCCTCCTCCCCAACCCCTGGAGGACACGGGTACAGCGTTATCGCCACTGGATGTGAACATCTGTACGTGGCCTACAAAACCTGGCACTGTAATTATGCGTGTGAGCCGTATGCTGACCTCGGAGCTTTTAACATGAAGAAGTGCAGGGTTTGGAATTATTAGTCTATCCCCTGAGTGAAGCATCAAAAAATTACTTTTGGTGATTCCTAGATAATTTTGTGAAAATGCAGACATGTAAATATAAAGGTGAGCAGAAGTCCTGAGGTCAGAGCAGTGAGTCCCCATCGGAGGCCCCCTCAGCGGTCCTACTGGAGAAAGGACAGCGCGGCCTTCACTGAGGGAAGGCAGCCGACGAGCGAGCCACCTCCACCCTCGTGACAATGCCATGTCACGTCGTCACAGGGTGGTTCTCCGCCTTGCATCGCTTTCCAGCCACCTGCTCTCGCTGGCTCTCTGACGAACGTGGTGGGCTGTGTCTCCCTTTACCTCGTGCCCTATCAAGCCATTCCTAGCTGTGGGTGACATCGTGATACAGATCTCCCGGGTGGCAAGGCCAAGTGAGCACCAGCACTGTGGCCTTCCCTTAGCTGGGCCCAGGGCGTGGGCTATAGCAGAGGACGGAGTCCAGGACACGGTCACCTCCCAGCTGATATGTCTGAGGACCCACAGCAGGCAACTGGCAGCCGGCATCTCCTCCTTCATTCCCAGGTCAACTCTGACAAATCAGTTCTATCTCTAGATGACTTACAATGACCTGAAGCTGAAATACATCATTATTTCAGTAAAACCTCTAACCAGCTGTGATATACCCGCATCAAGAAAGGCGTTAGTCGAACACTGTACTGGAGAGTTACTGACAGGCTGAGCAAGGTGAACTCACGAAGCTTCTAAGTCTCTGTAATTCCGTCCTTATCTTCAAACTGAGTCTTCAGTGGGAATTACCTGACCCCCTCGTAGGTAGAATAGGAGCCCGTGAAAAGAACAGAGTGGCCGCTGACGTGCATCACAGCTCTGCCCTCTGCCCTTCGGTAACCACGGCAACTGCACTTCCAGAAAACAGGCTCCCGAACGTCAGAAGTTTCAGGTTTCATTAGAAAATCAGACACAATATAAAAAAATATGTTTATCAAGAATAACAGTATTTCATTCATCGAATTCATTTTTAAAACATGAGTTCCAGCATAGAAAGAGAAATGACAGCATAAAATCTGAACCGATCTGCAAAACTAGTCCCTAGAGACCACGCGCCACGTGGTTTGGGTCAGAGGCACCCGCAGGCTGCTTTCCGAGGTGTCGTCAGTCGAGGGCTTTCCGCAACTGGTTTCACACGTTTCCTCCACAAGTTTAAAGATGTCATTCCGTCGCCAAGGGCGCGATTCCCCCGAAGCGTGCGGCTGCTGCGTCCGCTTCCCGGGAGCGTGATTAAGTCCCTGCCGAGCTCGCTCTCGGACGTCCGCGCGCCCCCGGAGCGCCACCTCCCGAGCAGACTCTGGTCTGGGAGCAGGTTCTAGGCAACGTCTCTCAACTTCTTCTGCAGTGTAACTATATCTGAGTTTAAGATTTTTAAAAAGATAATTCTCTATCGTCTCAGCAAGAAAGTGTCAGAACCCCACCAGGAATTTTCCGCCTGTCCCAACTCCATTCTGTCCAGCAGCTCTGCTCCGGCCGTGACGGCAGCGGCAGGGCGCACTGCCACCTCCTGCGGGCGCTGGGCGGTCCTCTGGACGAGTGTCCCCGCCACCCGCCGCAACTGCTCCTGAGAAGCCACGCCGGGTGAGCAGCTGGATCTGCCGGCACGAACTCCGCCGCGGGAGGTGAAGGCATCTGTGTTGCTCCATCGTTTGGTCACGTGCACATGACAGAAAGGGGGGCGACACATTTATCCTGGAGAAAACAGTGCGTGTGGCAACCCCAAGGGAAGCCGGCCGAGGCGGTCACGGCCTGGGGAAACGCGCGCTCAGCGGCTGCCACCGGCTCTGCAGGCTCCCGAGACGCAGACGGGCGCGGTGTCAGCGGCGTGACAAGTTACCGGGGCGGAAAGCCACCTCTGTGCGCGCCCCCGCGGCCCCCACGGAAGCCACCTCTCTCTCCGCGGAAGTTGGACCGATTTCTCTCTCGCCCGCGGCCGGTGGACGTCCCCCCTCGTCCCCCGCCCCTGGGAGCGCCGCCACCCCGGTCCGATTTAGATTTGGGAGGCGGCGATTTGGGCCGAAGCCTCTCGATTTCCTCCGTGCACCCGGTCAAGTAGGAGTTGGGGGCGCTGAAGTAGGACGCGTACGTCTCTGCGTTGTAGTTGCTGTTTGTCAGAGTCGGTCCGACCGTCAGCCAGCCTGAAACGGGGGAGGAGACAGGGCCCTGTGCTTGCGGCTCCCTACCGCCCGCCCGGGGCCACCGCGCACGTGCCCGGCCACCCCAACCGCGCACGCGCGCATCCTGCGTCTCCCCGGGTTACAGCGTCTGTCACTTACCTTCCTCGTAGTCTCCACGTTTCACACTTACGAAAAAAGCCCTACACTGAGTCAGGGCTCAGTGAAAATTTAACTCCACACACGCGTCCTGCGGTGGAAATGGCGCCGTGGGTTCCTGATTAAAATCCCGGAGCCGAGTGGCTGGCACTGTCCCCAGCCACGCCAGACCGGCTGCTGTCCCAGAGGCCGGCCACGGCTGTCACAGCCGTCGCTCCTGCTCGCCCGCCCTCCCGATGGCACTGCCTGCCAGGTGCGTCCCCGGCACACACGACACACACGACACACTGTGACGCTCTCCCAACTTCTCCTCCTGAGAGTGGGAAGCCTGAAGCAAAGCTTGCAACGCGTCACTTCTCCGTGCAACCTTCTAGGGCCTTCCACCAAGCCCCGGTCCGCAGCATGGAGTCTAAGGTCTCAGAATGAGGTCTGAACTACCTTTCCAATCACATTTCATGACAGCATCATTTGGGCCACACAGTGACCCCGACAGTGACTGCTGCCACGGCCACCTCCACCTTGGTGCCTGGTTTCTTATCCATCCTGGGAACCTGCCCAAGATCCCGCTCTCAACACCCACCCAAATACACATCTCATCAAACGGAAAGGACTCCGCTCCGAATCCCCATGGCGCGCGCTTCTCCAGGTTGAAGGGCGTTTCTGCCGGCTCCACTGCTCATGATAAGGACAACTTCTGACTGACTAAACTGTATCTGGAATGGGGGAACCACAGTTAGCTGGGAATGCCCAACAGAGACATATGCATCGGGGTCCCTGGGTGCGGCGACTCATAACTGACACCTGGAGGGGGACAGTGGAAATACATCTATGGCGTGCCACAAGGGACACAGGATCCCTGACCGCAGCTCAATCGACCGCTAAGGATTAGAAGAACTAGGTTCACAATGTTTCTGCCCCAGCATCCTCAAGGTTATTTTTTAGAATATTAGATCTATCACGAAATGCTCTAAAATGCTAAATGTTTTACTCCACGTTCCAAAACTTGTCGCTGATTTTGTGTAACACTTTGCACGTTGTTTCGAAAAAATCATTAGTATCAAATAGTTAACATGTTACTGTTCGCTTCACCTCACTGCTGGGGTGTGTTCCTTGTCCTCTGACTGCGTTCAGATTGATTAAGGGGGCTGTGTTTCTCAGAAAGTGTAATGTCCATATGCACTGAGTATCGGGATGACGGCCCTGGTGCTTGAGGGAATGAGGAACAGATTTTTCTCTTCCATCATTAACCTGTCCTACCCAACATGGCTCCTGAATCTGGGAAGTCTCCGCTGGCAACTGTTTTAAGGGAGAAGAAAACTTGAAAGAAAAAGCAAAGCTATTTGGAGAGTAAAAGGAAATATCAAATAGATGGTAATCTTTTGATAATTGAAAAGTCAGTGTAACGATGAGAAAAAAAATTGCTAAGAGGCAAAAAGATCGTCTCACTACGTCCAAGAATCCTTTTCACTCTACATAATACCGTCCAGTGCTCTGCATACAAATTTTCACATAATTGTAGTCATCATTTTGTATTTTTGTCAATATTACATCAAATATTTTCCTACATTTAAAATAATTACGATCATTTTAATGCCTTATAGCATTATTTAAAGCAGCGGTCCCCGACCTGTTTGGCACCAGGGACCGGTGCTCCCGATGCCTGATGAGCTGAGGCGGAGCTGAGGCAGTGATGCCAGCGCTGGGGAGCAGCTGCGAATGCAGACGAAGCTTCGCTCGCTGGCCTGCTGTGTGGCCCGGGTCCTAACAGGCCCTGGCCCGGGCGTTGGGGACCCCTGCTCTAAGTGTTTTTTTAAACATGAGAAGTGGCTGAGAGATCATTAAGTGCAGTTACAGGCGTCAGCACGAGCAGTTACGAAGGTGGAGATTTTGTTTAATGCCCATTTATATTCTTAAGTATTATATCCAGTGGGGTTCTCCATCCACTTAGCTGTGGCCACTTTACCCGCCTTCGATTATACATTATACCCTTTCTGTATCTGTACCAGCTGAACAAAGTCTTAGAGGATACAAATTTCATTTTTTGCTTGCAAACTACTGTGTATTGTTTACTCTTGCCCATTCTTGCAAAAATTATTTCAGTCTTAGCTACAGTAAAATAAAATTAGGAAGGAAAGTCTGCTTGGGGGAAGTTATAAGTGGCTGGGGGTTAAGCATGTAAATAACTGTAGGAGCAATCGAGAGTTTCTAATAAAGCCCACACGTCTGGCGCTTTCTGCAGGACTATGCAATCATTCATTCATGCATTTCTTCGTTCAACACAATAGTTCCTGAATGATCTGGATGCTGGGGAGAAGGAAGACGATCTTTGCCTTCCGTGAAACTGCATGATGGAGAGTGAACACGAACCTACGGCCAAACAACCCTATCGCTCAGACAATGGTACCGGCCACGGAGACGAAGACGACAGATCGGGGGAAGA